TAGAGCAGGGTTTCCCTGTACTTACTTCTTCTCGCCTCACTTTTTTTATTTTTTCGCGCGCTGTTTTTCGCGCTGCGCCCCAATTAACTGAACGCCTGGAAGAGGCTAGATATAAAGGGAAAAAACGAGGAGGAGGGGTTTTGTTTCGTTGGATGCTGGTAGACGAAAGAGATCGCTCGATATCTATTTATTACAGACTCGTGATGTTTGACTAACACGCATGCGGGTTAAAATTTTCTACAAAGCATTAATTATAAATGAACGTTGTGCTCCGGTGAAAGTATTGGGCGTAAAACGACTAGGTGATTTTATATGTGCGCTGATCGCGGCAAATTTGGTCACCATTGAAAATGGCAAGCCGCATTGCATGGCTATCTGCAGCGAGTTCGCTAGGCAATCAGGTCTGCAGTAACTCCCAACAAGTTTACCGCTGATTTTAGAATTATCCCATACAGTGTTGGATCGTACGTCGGCACGATCAGAACCGCTGGCTGTGAAAATCGCACTGCCAAAAACAAACAGACTTTACGATTTTTGCAAATCGCAGCGGATCGGTGGGTGTAAGATACCTAGATTTCAGTCGCATCTAAAATATTCAAGGAGCAGTAAAACAAGCAATCAAACAATCCAGAATATCACCGAAATAGAAGTCAGTCTAAAATACCTTCTACGATCTCTGCCCGAGGATAGTAATCACTGAAGTTCAGCATCATTCTGTTTAAGAATCTTTGTATTGGGAGCTTGTAAGTCCGAGATGCAACGTAACTTTTAATTTTTTGAAAGGTCTACTCAGATGATAAAGCACAACATGTATACAGTCGAACACAAACAAGCTCTTAACATAGCCTGAGTAGTTTTCCTCAGCAAGTAGCGATTTCTACGCGCCGTAAATAGGGCATGTGGTACTCTACCATGTGTCCACGTAACCCCCCTGGCCCTTAGGCTCTTACTCCCAGAATATACATTCGCCAGAAACCATTGATACACCTGGCATGGGGGAGGAGAGGGGCACTGGGAGTGAAAAGTGTAGCCCAAGAACACAACTCAATGACCTTAGCCAGGGTTCAAATACAGACTGCTCGGTCCGTAATTCTGTGCACTAACTTTTTTACTGATCCTGATATTCACAAAGATTCATCTTGGATCTCGGGCTCCCGCTTGTTCAAATTGTCCTTGCTTAATTTTTGTCCACCAATATTTGGACATTTTTTAATAGCATTATTGTGGAATCAGAAGTGCTGAAAAGTGCTGGTAATGTGCCAGTGAGAAAATAACTGACCATCCAAGAAGAGTAGGAGAGTATCCATACAGTTGTTCACATCTAATGAAGCTTTAATTTCATACAGATTTCTTGTGTAAATATTAGTTACTCGACTAGATTTTTATTTTTGATTATTTCTTTTCTGATTTATATCTTTTGCGTGTTCTCCATTTTTTCAGTTGTATAATGCTTGTCTATTATTTGCTAAAATATATCTTTATTATTGAAAAGGCTTATGATGACTAGATTAGATGACTGCGTTTCCTCCGCCATCTTGGAAAACGACACTCTCGTCCCCTGAGACTGCGAGTCTTGACGCTGTCCAACAGGACCGCAGATCCTGGGGAAGAGGATGAGAAAAAGAACCCTAGTGCACCTACATATCACAAGGTAGTTGCCTGTCATTGCCTATGACTGCTTGTGTCAGTTGCATGTCATTTTCGTGCGATTGAGTTTATGTAGTCCCTAGGCCTCGATGTTTCGCCTTGGTCAATCGTTTTTGGGTCACATGGTCCGAGGCGAGCGTCTCGGATAAGTCGCCAAAATCATTTGACCGCTAAGGCCTGGGAGAAAGCCATACAGGAACTAGGCAACGATTGACTAGCGTCATATGCCGCTGAACCCACCCTGAAAATGGTGGAGACCTGGAAAAGGCGGAGGGAGGGGGGAGGGGACAGTACTAGTGAGGAAAGCGAACAACGACAGCGAATGCTCAGAATTTGGTTCCCAATATCTTTCTGGCAACTATTTCATTTGCAACCTTTCGATTTTAAGACTGATTCACGTGATTTCGTCTGAGATGAAAATTCGAAGAGCTTTTTAATTTTCAGTATGGGATCAGGCTTTAAGCAATTTTCCTTGCTAAAAATAACAACCTCAAGGTGGGAAGCCAGATGGTATATATACAAAACCCCTTAGTCAGAGTACAAAACGTGACATCTTGGCATGAAATGTAGATAACTGAAGCCATAAAAATCGATAATAATCGCATCACTGACGCAGAACTAAACATTTCTCTGCCAGGAATCAAACAGATCTACACCTAATAACATGATTTGAAAATAGAGCTTCCTATAAAAACCTGAGAAAATGTTAGCAGTCATGCTATTCGGTTACTCTACGTAATAACGTTATTAATAAAGTTTACACAAAAGAACTATATCACATTGTGTGAGATTTACGAAAAAATAAATAAATAAGCCAATTCTGAACTGAATGCCAATCCAGTTTTTTATTGTTAGCGAAAAGTTATATTAATATGCAAACTGCTCTCGCCTGCACAAGCAAAAAGCAGGTGTTTTCGGAGCGAATTGCGTTCGGAACTGTTTTTCTTTTTTTTTTATCGTTCCTCAGTAAAACCATGGTGATCTCTGACCTAACTGATGTTCAAAGATTTCTCAGCAGATTTTATTCGTTCATTTTTAAGACGTTTCGCCAACGAATTTTTGGGAAGTGTCAATCCCAGTTTAATTTGTTTACCTGTAGCTATAGGCGCTGCTGGATCCGTCGTATAAGTGATTGCTTCCTGCAGAGAGGGAAGAGAAACAATCATTGTCACGGAGTGTCATTTCAAATAGTCCATAAAGATCAATATTCAATGGAAAAAAGTTTCAAAAAGGTGCCAGGATAATTGCGTTTTCGATACTTCCTTCAATTTTTTACGTCGAATCAGGACTATTGCTTTGATCACTTTGAAGTTAAAGCGATCTTTCTTCCGCTTACTCAAGTGATACAGACAAATTTCGGCGTGGTTCGCAAGCTGTCGAGCAGGAAAAAGTGTCAAAAGTGCTTCTACAGGGCGCTATTTTGGTGTCATCATCTCGTTGGCAACTCTTCTTGAAGAAAAACAAAATACATAGTTGACTTCAGTACTTGTTCACGAAGAAACAACACCATGTCTAATGATACTTCACCGACAAGATGTTTCTTCATCGAACTCACCCCTCGACCTGCAAAATATTTCGACTCGTTGTATCTCGTCTGTCTTGTTCTCCACGCGGTTTCCTTTCTTCCCGCTGCGATTGGAAATGGCGTCGTGACTTTAACAACATTCAAGACCCCCTCGCTTCAGAAGCCTTCGTTCGTACTGTTGAGTTGTGCGGCGTTTGCAGACTCACTCACTGGCTTTCTTGCCCAGCCAGTGGCAATGGCTTCGTTCGCCGCTAAACTTAAAGGACAATTCTCCGCTGCTTGTTGGCTGGATCTCTTGAAGGAGTGTTTGGGTTGGTTATTCGGAGGTATATCTGTGAGTATTCTAGCTTTTTTGAGCGTGGAACGCTACCTCGCGCTACGATTGGGCCTTCGCTACCAAACAGTTATCACGGTAAAACGTGTTTTACTCATTGTTATCTTCTTCTGGCTTGCACTGCTAACACTAGGAACGTTTCGTTTCTTCGCGCTCAGTAACAAGACATATGTTGCTATACATCTCCCATTCATGCTTCTAAGTCTGGTGATCCTCACGGCAACTTACTGTAAAATTCACCTTTTTATTAAAAGACACAGATTGAAACTCTCTCCCGCGGAAAATCAAAAGCAAAACGCTTTCGACGTCGCAAAGTACAAGAAGATCACTTTAGCTGTTCTTTACATAGTCTGTTTCTACTGGTTATTTTTCGCACCGTTTGTCTGCGTGCTGCTTGCATTTTTACTGTCAGGTTTCACTGAACGAGTCGAAGGCGCTTATTACATCACAACGACTCTTATACTCGCAAACGCGGCAGTAAACCCACTTCTTTATTGCTGGAAACTAAGGGCCCTTAGACAAGCCGTGTTAAAATACATCAAAGACATACTTCATTTACACTCTTAATGAAAGAAAACAAATTAAAACACTTTTCGTACCCACGTAAACAAAACTTTTATAGCGCAAAGAACATTAGCCTGTAGAACGTACAGATGTTTCTGCGTGGTTTGTACTTCATTCATAAAACTTCCGCCCCTTGATACAGGAATTTAGTGCTGTAATGGTATATTGCAAGTTCGCCATTAGTCAGCCGCAGGGTTTGAATAATATGAGCCGGGCTAAAACTCTAAGAAAAAGGACAAGTTTTTGTGGGGTATTTTAATAAAGCAAATGAAAAATCATGTGGAGTTCGAGAAGGGATCCAAACGAATTCGTGAAAGGCAACATGCAATCGGTATTGTAACTGGTTTCTGAAAAGCATGCCTTAGCGACCCGCCTTTCGTCAAAGCTTCTACTTGTATTTCTAAAACTGTAAGAGACAAAGACAAAATGATCTTATTCCAATTCCCTATGATGTAACACACTACGCATTCGGTGATATATTGAGAACGGGTGTAGGTTTTATGCACTCTTATTTTCTTGTAAGAATCTTTTCTGAGAACACTGGGGCTAAGATTAACCCAAATTTTGAGAAAATGTCGATGACACACCCCAGGTAGAGTCACCGAAACAACTTCTTGAAAGAACAGTATGACTTCAACGTAAGACTTGCATGCGTTTATAGAGACCATTAGTGCCGACATATCTGAATATAAATGATATGAGCCTGTCTTGTAATACTAAATAAATCTTTATTTACCCACAGTGTCCATTTCACTTACTGTGCTGTATTTCGGAGCCGTGCATAGTAACAAGAAAACTATGATTAACAAAATTTTATTTGATTTAACCATCACACAGAAGGAGGATGAACTAGTGACCATGTGGCCTGCTTAGATTCGCGTGATAATTTATTTCACATCAAGACAGCTCCTCCGTAAGCAAAGCCCTTTTTGATGGCTTTTGTACCCTGGCCTCCGTATTTGGTCAGTTGGAATGAAAAGATAATGTTCAAATCCTCACAGATTATAGCTGTGTTGGATGGTGTTTGCCAAGGTGAAATTTTTTGAAATTCGGTTCGATTCATAGTCGTGTGCAGTAGCGCCTTAAACACTGCTGTACAAACTACTGTTATCTGGTCCGTCACCTAAGCTTGAGCAGTCAAGTCCATTTTTCGAACTAAACAATTTAGAAAACGAAAAAAGAAGCGAAATATACTAAGAATTAGGCAATCAAGCTTTATTCAATTTTGGTTCAAAAACTGTAAACATTTGTGAAAGATATGTCGACCTACGTTCTTGTCTTGACGTCACAACCTGACTAGTCCCAGGTTCTAACCCCTCGCGGTTCCTGACCCAATCGAAAATGGCTAACACGAGGAGAATAAAAAACGATACCCATTTTGATTAAGAATATCACACAAGCAGCGGTGATAAACATTTTAAAACCATGAATTTTATGAACTTGACGTTTCATATGCTAGGCAACATACATTTCAAAAGTATAACCGTTAAAAGTTTTTACAATGTATCAAAGGGGATCTGGAACCTAGACAGAAAACATTTGCAGATGAAATTTAAGACGTTTCAAACGGAAACTGTCTGTAAAGTGACACGATGGAAAAGCTTTCCTACCCGCTTTCCTAATAGATCCTAATAAAGTAAAAGCTTTTCACTGCTGACATTGGCTTTTAATGCTGGTTGCAACCCCTGAATAAACAAGGTCTCCTTAACCTTACAATGGTAGTCAGTCTTGCCGGACGCCAAAATGTCAAATTGGTCCCATTTGATGTTGTGACCTGTTGTTTTAACGTGATCAGCAATAGCAGAATAGTGATCATGTTTCGAAAGGGCCTTGAAATGTTCCGTTTTCCGGTCGTGAAGTCTTCACCTCGTTTTCCCAATGTAAAAATCATTGCAGTCCCAGCAACTAACTTTGTAAATGACTTTGGATAATTGTGATCGATTGAGACGGTCCTTGTATGGGAAGAAGGATTTGATGCGCTGGGTGCTTTGAAAAATAACTTTGACTTTAACAAAAGAGTAGAAACGATTTACACAAGGTTTTAGACGCTTAGTAGTATGATAATAGTAACATCTTTTTCGGGGACTGTTGCTACCCATTTTTTTGTCAATTTTCATATCATGATCTCATGAGAATTCCATCAAGCAAATAAAAAAATATCTGTCATATACACTTAAATAACAATTATTATGTGGCTAGCTCCGTGCGTGAGTGGACAAGGTGAATCAAATCCCGCTCTCTGATTGGCTCCCCAGCGGGCAAGATGGGGCTATCTTGACCGCTCGGGACTACCCGCCGTGTCCCGCAAGAAAAATTTCCCCGAAAGCCATATATTAAATCCTTTATTGACCATGCTTGTTCGGTCAAGATGGCTTGATATTAGCCTCGTTCATTTTTTTTGCGATTTTATGGACCTCGACTCCGTCTCGGTCCATATACATACATATATATATCACTTCACAACGGGCCCAGGCTGTTCAAAGTCAGTAAGCTAACCCAGGATTAGCAAAAATCTTGACTTCAGTTTTAAATTTTTTCGGTGAAGTTTTCTCAGGTTTTTATTGTTCATCCTCCAGGTTTGAACTTGGGTTACTTCAAACTACACTCGGCTTCATTTAAATTCAGTTATTTTTAAATGGTCGAATTATATTATCCTGAGTACATGTATGATCGGGGGCGTGTGAATTGCAAGCATGATCATTGTTAAATGATTAAATGATTAAATCATTGTTAAATGTTACGAAACCTGCTGCCGATAAATAAGGCGCCCTAGTTCTCCTAACTAAGTTGGATACAGTACTGCCTGTTTAGCTTTATTCAAATTTGTTAACGAATAAAACAAACGATTTGAATTGCTTGTCTGTTTGTTTTACTGAGTGCAACCAAGCGGTTAATCGGTTGCGACAAACTTGGATTTACAATGGATATACTGACGAAACTTTTCAAATTCAGCCACACCAATCAGGGAAAAGAACTTTCTTTATATAATTATAAGGCGACTAACGGATGTAAGGAGCCTATCAAATTTTCGAAACGAACGGATCGAAGCTATGGCTCCCTGTGCATTTTNCGCTCGGGACTACCCGCCGTGTCCCGCAAGAAAAATTTCCCCGAAAGCCATATATTAAATCCTTTATTGACCATGCTTGTTCGGTCAAGATGGCTTGATATTAGCCTCGTTCATTTTTTTTGCGATTTTATGGACCTCGACTCCGTCTCGGTCCATATACATACATATATATATCACTTCACAACGGGCCCAGGCTGTTCAAAGTCAGTAAGCTAACCCAGGATTAGCAAAAATCTTGACTTCAGTTTTAAATTTTTTCGGTGAAGTTTTCTCAGGTTTTTATTGTTCATCCTCCAGGTTTGAGCTTGGGTTACTTCAAACTACACTCGGCTTCATTTAAATTCAGTTATTTTTAAATGGTCGAATTATATTATCCTGAGTACATGTATGATCGGGGGCGTGTGAATTGCAAGCATGATCATTGTTAAATGATTAAATGATTAAATCATTGTTAAATGTTACGAAACCTGCTGCCGATAAATAAGGCGCCCTAGTTCTCCTAACTAAGTTGGATACAGTACTGCCTGTTTAGCTTTATTCAAATTTGTTAACGAATAAAACAAACGATTTGAATTGCTTGTCTGTTTGTTTTACTGAGTGCAACCAAGCGGTTAATCGGTTGCGACAAACTTGGATTTACAATGGATATACTGACGAAACTTTTCAAATTCAGCCACACCAATCAGGGAAAAGAACTTTCTTTATATAATTATAAGGCGACTAACGGATGTAAGGAGCCTATCAAATTTTCGAAACGAACGGATCGAAGCTATGGCTCCCTGTGCATTTTTAATAGTATTCTATCGTCATCACAAACGAGCGCGCGAAGTTGCGGCATAAAAGATCACAAAAAAANTGGGGCTAAGATTAACCCAAATTTTGAGAAAATGTCGATGACACACCCCAGGTAGAGTCACCGAAACAACTTCTTGAAAGAACAGTATGACTTCAACGTAAGACTTGCATGCGTTTATAGAGACCATTAGTGCCGACATATCTGAATATAAATGATATGAGCCTGTCTTGTAATACTAAATAAATCTTTATTTACCCACAGTGTCCATTTCACTTACTGTGCTGTATTTCGGAGCCGTGCATAGTAACAAGAAAACTATGATTAACAAAATTTTATTTGATTTAACCATCACACAGAAGGAGGATGAACTAGTGACCATGTGGCCTGCTTAGATTCGCGTGATAATTTATTTCACATCAAGACAGCTCCTCCGTAAGCAAAGCCCTTTTTGATGGCTTTTGTACCCTGGCCTCCGTATTTGGTCAGTTGGAATGAAAAGATAATGTTCAAATCCTCACAGATTATAGCTGTGTTGGATGGTGTTTGCCAAGGTGAAATTTTTTGAAATTCGGTTCGATTCATAGTCGTGTGCAGTAGCGCCTTAAACACTGCTGTACAAACTACTGTTATCTGGTCCGTCACCTAAGCTTGAGCAGTCAAGTCCATTTTTCGAACTAAACAATTTAGAAAACGAAAAAAGAAGCGAAATATACTAAGAATTAGGCAATCAAGCTTTATTCAATTTTGGTTCAAAAACTGTAAACATTTGTGAAAGATATGTCGACCTACGTTCTTGTCTTGACGTCACAACCTGACTAGTCCCAGGTTCTAACCCCTCGCGGTTCCTGACCCAATCGAAAATGGCTAACACGAGGAGAATAAAAAACGATACCCATTTTGATTAAGAATATCACACAAGCAGCGGTGATAAACATTTTAAAACCATGAATTTTATGAACTTGACGTTTCATATGCTAGGCAACATACATTTCAAAAGTATAACCGTTAAAAGTTTTTACAATGTATCAATGGGGGTCTGGAACCTAGACAGAAAACATTTGCAGATGAAATTTAAGACGTTTCAAACGGAAACTGTCTGTAAAGTGACACGATGGAAAAGCTTTCCTACCCGCTTTCCTAATAGATCCTAATAAAGTAAAAGCTTTTCACTGCTGACATTGGCTTTTAATGCTGGTTGCAACCCCTGAATAAACAAGGTCTCCTTAACCTTACAATGGTAGTCAGTCTTGCCGGACGCCAAAATGTCAAATTGGTCCCATTTGATGTTGTGACCTGTTGTTTTAACGTGATCAGCAATAGCAGAATAGTGATCATGTTTCGAAAGGGCCTTGAAATGTTCCGTTTTCCGGTCGTGAAGTCTTCACCTCGTTTTCCCAATGTAAAAATCATTGCAGTCCCAGCAACTAACTTTGTAAATGACTTTGGATAATTGTGATCGATTGAGACGGTCCTTGTATGGGAAGAAGGATTTGATGCGCTGGGTGCTTTGAAAAATAACTTTGACTTTAACAAAAGAGTAGAAACGATTTACACAAGGTTTTAGACGCTTAGTAGTATGATAATAGTAACATCTTTTTCGGGGACTGTTGCTACCCATTTTTTTGTCAATTTTCATATCATGATCTCATGAGAATTCCATCAAGCAAATAAAAAAATATCTGTCATATACACTTAAATAACAATTATTATGTGGCTAGCTCCGTGCGTGAGTGGACAAGGTGAATCAAATCCCGCTCTCTGATTGGCTCCCCAGCGGGCAAGATGGGGCTATCTTGACCGCTCGGGACTACCCGCCGTGTCCCGCAAGAAAAATTTCCCCGAAAGCCATATATTAAATCCTTTATTGACCATGCTTGTTCGGTCAAGATGGCTTGATATTAGCCTCGTTCATTTTTTTTGCGATTTTATGGACCTCGACTCCGTCTCGGTCCATATACATACATATATATATCACTTCACAACGGGCCCAGGCTGTTCAAAGTCAGTAAGCTAACCCAGGATTAGCAAAAATCTTGACTTCAGTTTTAAATTTTTTCGGTGAAGTTTTCTCAGGTTTTTATTGTTCATCCTCCAGGTTTGAGCTTGGGTTACTTCAAACTACACTCGGCTTCATTTAAATTCAGTTATTTTTAAATGGTCGAATTATATTATCCTGAGTACATGTATGATCGGGGGCGTGTGAATTGCAAGCATGATCATTGTTAAATGATTAAATGATTAAATCATTGTTAAATGTTACGAAACCTGCTGCCGATAAATAAGGCGCCCTAGTTCTCCTAACTAAGTTGGATACAGTACTGCCTGTTTAGCTTTATTCAAATTTGTTAACGAATAAAACAAACGATTTGAATTGCTTGTCTGTTTGTTTTACTGAGTGCAACCAAGCGGTTAATCGGTTGCGACAAACTTGGATTTACAATGGATATACTGACGAAACTTTTCAAATTCAGCCACACCAATCAGGGAAAAGAACTTTCTTTATATAATTATAAGGCGACTAACGGATGTAAGGAGCCTATCAAATTTTCGAAACGAACGGATCGAAGCTATGGCTCCCTGTGCATTTTTAATAGTATTCTATCGTCATCACAAACGAGCGCGCGAAGTTGCGGCATAAAAGATCCAAAAAAAAAATGCATATTTGGATCATTGATCTATGCTCACCATTCGATAAAGATAACTGTGTATACATGAAAAAATATATGGAGCCCATGAATGACGCGGTAAACATGGTAATAATATAAACACAACCCGCAGGCACAACCCGTAAACACGTCTCGAGGACGAGATTTTCGTGTTCCGTAATGTTTACCAAAATCGGCCTATAGCTGATCCACACTGCTTAATACCGGAACACAAAAACACAATATCTTCAGAGGCACTCGGCACAAGACTGAGTACAACGTTAGAATCAATGTGTAATTGCGAGCGATTTCGCTGAGGTGAGTAAATTTCTCTGTGAATACGATCATTATTGTGGTCAGTTTTCCCTTGAATTGATCCCGGTTTTGTACCCAGTCTTCTCAGAAGGCTAGCTAGTAACAAAATTTCGCACGCTAATTTATAATTGGCTGATGGCTTTCGGTATAAATGCGTAACAGCACATTTTGATCAGTACAGTACTGTCTACATCACCTGTCTTTTTTGGTAATCACTTCTTCTGCCTGAGAGAAATTTTCTAGTTCAAGTTTTGGGTTTTGCTTTTGACTTTTGGCAATTGTTTCGGGTCGTTATGGGTATATTACATGTTCAACTTCTGCGCGCAGAACACTTTAATTTCTCCATCTCTTACACATCCAATAAAATGTCTAAGAATTAAGAGTGTAGAGGTACATCAAAATATATTGTCAAGTCCCTTGGTTTGTGAGAGAGAAATTAAATGTTGATGCGGCATGTTTAGTGGGGATCGAAAATTCTAGAATTTACCAAGTATTCGCGGAAATTTCCGAGTCGACGGCTTCCCCGACTCGCATCTCGGATGGCAATACAAACCGTTTTTTTAAGGAGACTAATGAAGATATGATATAAATCAACACCATAATTTTATCTACTGATATTCACTGATTCCTTTAACAGATCCGAGAGATAGCTTTGTGCGAATTAAAGCTTTCCCTGTGTTGTAAAATGGTCATGATGCAATTTCAGCTACATCTTCTATCCACTTTGCTTGTTTTCGTGACTGCGTGTAACTGCAATGGACAGTCGGTGAGGCGGCATAGAGTAAACATTGCTAAATATTAAGGATAGGCCAAAGTACTTATCCGACCTCAGGACTTAGAGGAACAATTAAGTTACACTACATCATATGAGCTGCATTCTTTTAGATACTTTTTGCCCAAAAAATGGAGCGATTTGCCAGAAAAGATCAGATAGACTTTCATTTTCGAATAATTTCAAGCATTACTTAGTAGTCTGTCTTTTACCAACTCTTGCTGTAATTTTTGCGAGTTAAATATCGATTTAAAATTACCTGTGCGTATGTGTATCTTGGTTAGATGGTCTTTAGAGATATTAATATATTACTTTATTGTAGTTATAGTTTAGATAGCTTTCGGAGAAATTAGCATATATGTGCTATACTGTAAATCCGAACCTAAATAAATTAAAGTGTATGTATGTATGTATGTATGTATGTATGTATGTATGTATGTTATCCCATAATATTCCCATCATCTTATCAAAGTTATCTGCCACCAGCTCATAATGAACTCAAAAATATATGCGGCACCCCTCCTGTTACAACTCTGATTAAATGTTACATGTCTTAGTTGTTAGAGTTGTCTTTTTGTTAAAATCTACTGACATTTATAAGGGGATGGTAGATGAATGTTGACAACAAAAATGACTAAATGTCAAGTGAGTTGCCGCGACACATTCTGACACCTTANTTGGCTTTTAATGCTGGTTGCAACCCCTGAATAAACAAGGTCTCCTTAACCTTACAATGGTAGTCAGTCTTGCCGGACGCCAAAATGTCAAATTGGTCCCATTTGATGTTGTGACCTGTTGTTTTAACGTGATCAGCAATAGCAGAATAGTGATCATGTTTCGAAAGGGCCTTGAAATGTTCCGTTTTCCGGTCGTGAAGTCTTCACCTCGTTTTCCCAATGTAAAAATCATTGCAGTCCCAGCAACTAACTTTGTAAATGACTTTGGATAATTGTGATCGATTGAGACGGTCCTTGTATGGGAAGAAGGATTTGATGCGCTGGGTGCTTTGAAAAATAACTTTGACTTTAACAAAAGAGTAGAAACGATTTACACAAGGTTTTAGACGCTTAGTAGTATGATAATAGTAACATCTTTTTCGGGGACTGTTGCTACCCATTTTTTTGTCAATTTTCATATCATGATCTCATGAGAATTCCATCAAGCAAATAAAAAAATATCTGTCATATACACTTAAATAACAATTATTATGTGGCTAGCTCCGTGCGTGAGTGGACAAGGTGAATCAAATCCCGCTCTCTGATTGGCTCCCCAGCGGGCAAGATGGGGCTATCTTGACCGCTCGGGACTACCCGCCGTGTCCCGCAAGAAAAATTTCCCCGAAAGCCATATATTAAATCCTTTATTGACCATGCTTGTTCGGTCAAGATGGCTTGATATTAGCCTCGTTCATTTTTTTTGCGATTTTATGGACCTCGACTCCGTCTCGGTCCATATACATACATATATATATCACTTCACAACGGGCCCAGGCTGTTCAAAGTCAGTAAGCTAACCCAGGATTAGCAAAAATCTTGACTTCAGTTTTAAATTTTTTCGGTGAAGTTTTCTCAGGTTTTTATTGTTCATCCTCCAGGTTTGAGCTTGGGTTACTTCAAACTACACTCGGCTTCATTTAAATTCAGTTATTTTTAAATGGTCGAATTATATTATCCTGAGTACATGTATGATCGGGGGCGTGTGAATTGCAAGCATGATCATTGTTAAATGATTAAATGATTAAATCATTGTTAAATGTTACGAAACCTGCTGCCGATAAATAAGGCGCCCTAGTTCTCCTAACTAAGTTGGATACAGTACTGCCTGTTTAGCTTTATTCAAATTTGTTAACGAATAAAACAAACGATTTGAATTGCTTGTCTGTTTGTTTTACTGAGTGCAACCAAGCGGTTAATCGGTTGCGACAAACTTGGATTTACAATGGATATACTGACGAAACTTTTCAAATTCAGCCACACCAATCAGGGAAAAGAACTTTCTTTATATAATTATAAGGCGACTAACGGATGTAAGGAGCCTATCAAATTTTCGAAACGAACGGATCGAAGCTATGGCTCCCTGTGCATTTTTAATAGTATTCTATCGTCATCACAAACGAGCGCGCGAAGTTGCGGCATAAAAGATCCAAAAAAAAAATGCATATTTGGATCATTGATCTATGCTCACCATTCGATAAAGATAACTGTGTATACATGAAAAAATATATGGAGCCCATGAATGACGCGGTAAACATGGTAATAATATAAACACAACCCGCAGGCACAACCCGTAAACACGTCTCGAGGACGAGATTTTCGTGTTCCGTAATGTTTACCAAAATCGGCCTATAGCTGATCCACACTGCTTAATACCGGAACACAAAAACACAATATCTTCAGAGGCACTCGGCACAAGACTGAGTACAACGTTAGAATCAATGTGTAATTGCGAGCGATTTCGCTGAGGTGAGTAAATTTCTCTGTGAATACGATCATTATTGTGGTCAGTTTTCCCTTGAATTGATCCCGGTTTTGTACCCAGTCTTCTCAGAAGGCTAGCTAGTAACAAAATTTCGCACGCTAATTTATAATTGGCTGATGGCTTTCGGTATAAATGCGTAACAGCACATTTTGATCAGTACAGTACTGTCTACATCACCTGTCTTTTTTGGTAATCACTTCTTCTGCCTGAGAGAAATTTTCTAGTTCAAGTTTTGGGTTTTGCTTTTGACTTTTGGCAATTGTTTCGGGTCGTTATGGGTATATTACATGTTCAACTTCTGCGCGCAGAACACTTTAATTTCTCCATCTCTTACACATCCAATAAAATGTCTAAGAATTAAGAGTGTAGAGGTACATCAAAATATATTGTCAAGTCCCTTGGTTTGTGAGAGAGAAATTAAATGTTGATGCGGCATGTTTAGTGGGGATCGAAAATTCTAGAATTTACCAAGTATTCGCGGAAATTTCCGAGTCGACGGCTTCCCCGACTCGCATCTCGGATGGCAATACAAACCGTTTTTTTAAGGAGACTAATGAAGATATGATATAAATCAACACCATAATTTTATCTACTGATATTCACTGATTCCTTTAACAGATCCGAGAGATAGCTTTGTGCGAATTAAAGCTTTCCCTGTGTTGTAAAATGGTCATGATGCAATTTCAGCTACATCTTCTATCCACTTTGCTTGTTTTCGTGACTGCGTGTAACTGCAATGGACAGTCGGTGAGGCGGCATAGAGTAAACATTGCTAAATATTAAGGATAGGCCAAAGTACTTATCCGACCTCAGGACTTAGAGGAACAATTAAGTTACACTACATCATATGAGCTGCATTCTTTTAGATACTTTTTGCCCAAAAAATGGAGCGATTTGCCAGAAAAGATCAGATAGACTTTCATTTTCGAATAATTTCAAGCATTACTTAGTAGTCTGTCTTTTACCAACTCTTGCTGTAATTTTTGCGAGTTAAATATCGATTTAAAATTACCTATGCGTATGTGTATCTTGGTTAGATGGTCTTTAGAGATATTAATATATTACTTTATTGTAGTTATAGTTTAGATAGCTTTCGGAGAAATTAGCATATATGTGCTATACTGTAAATCCGAACCTAAATAAATTAAAGTGTATGTATGTATGTATGTATGTATGTATGTATGTTATCCCATAATATTCCCATCATCTTATCAAAGTTATCTGCCACCAGCTCATAATGAACTCAAAAATATATGCGGCACCCCTCCTGTTATAACTCTGATTAAATGTTACATGTCTTAGTTGTTAGAGTTGTCTTTTTGTTAAAATCTACTGACATTTATAAGGGGATGGTAGACGAATGTTGACAACAAAAATGACTAAATGTCAAGTGAGTTGCCGCGACACATTCTGACACCTTAATCTTCAACGAACTTCCTCAGCTGTCTATATTGAATACACTTTTTGACAACATTGAACTCATTAGGCCCTAAAATGCATAAACAAAAAAGCTGAAGTTTACTGCATCCACGACACGAACAGCTAACATTATAAGGGAAGCATAATTGAACTGTTGGTTAGTTGAACAAGCTTGATTATCATCGACCGAATTATATAATTAAATGGAAGAAAATACCTGCAAATAAGTCCTCTGTAATTTCCAAGGTATAGCATGGTAAGGTCTGGTAAAAGCTACGAAAATAATCGGCCTGCTGAGACGTTTGGGCTACATAAGGGAACAGTTCTCAGTTGACAAAACTCATGTGGACCATCTATATTTAAATATTTCATTTTCAGCAGCCATTTGCGAACTGATTTATACAAAGATTTGTCATCATCTCTTCGGTACTTTTCTTATAATTTTTTCCATGCATAGTATTGCCCTCCTCAAGGTCCGCCTGGCCAACCCGGGATTCCGGGCACTCCTGGTACTCCAGGAACTCCCGGAATACCAGGAACTCTAGGAACACCAGGAACTTTGGCTTCCGTGGGATATCCCGGTTTTTCTCGGCGATGGAAACAGTGTGCTTGGCAATATAATGAAAGACAGGATGACAAAGATAATGGCCAAGTTCATGTAAGAATACTACATTATGAAAACTGAGAATTACAGTGAGAGAATAATAGTAATTACAACAATGATAGTGATAGTGATAGTGATAGTGAAAGTGAAAGTGATAGTGATAGTGATAATGCTGATAATAATGATAATAAACTTTCTTTCACGAGAGTTACACCGTACTTGAAGTTATATTAACTGAAGCACTAATGGTGTTCTGTGCTAAAAAAATGACAATAAGAATTTTAATTCTTATTGCAGGAAATATTTAAAAATATTTCCTTTGAATACTTATCTTCAAGTCTGTAGTGAAATGCTCCTGAAATTATACTAAGCGGAGTAAAAACTCAAGTCGCATTTACAATCAAATGTTCCACTTCATTGTAGATGAAAGTGAAGAATGATCATCACATCACTTCATTGTAGCTCGTTAAAAATAGCTATGAATGGCCTTTCTATGAAAAGAAATTATTAATGTAGTTCTTCTTTCAAATTAATGGAAAATAAGTTACAGACTCTAGTTGAAAAATCCGTCTGTGGCCCTTTCATCAACAACACGCACTTCCGAATATGATGAAACTAGGGTGCATATCCCTAACACATTTACCTTAAATTCGTGATTTGTTTTGTTCGGTTTCAGGAGTGCGTCTTTGTCAAGTCGAGGAGTGATTCATACCTGCGTGTGGTTTACATGGGTAACATTCGGATAAGAAAGTGTAGAAACTGCTGTAAGAGATGGTACTTCACTTTCAACAAGGCCGAGTGCAAGGACCCCGCCCCTATTGATGGTGCACTGTACCAAAGCATTGACATTAACATTCACCGTGCCACTAACATAGAGGGCTACTGTGGCGGGATTGCCGCTGGGAAAGTGCAAGTTGGCTTCAGTATTGGAAACTGTGACAATGGAATAAGCAGCACTAGTGCTGATGGATGGACAAGTTGGAATCAGGCTATCAGGATCATTATTGAAGAAGTCGAACCGCCAGTTGCTTGACTTTTCACACACAAAAAATAGAGTTCTCAAAAAAAAAAAAGAGGTGCTATTTAAGGGGTCATTTTTTAAAAGACGGGTGAACACATCGTTGTAGTAACGCAAGGCAATAATCTTAAAAGCTGGAGTTTATTTTATTTGAAATGTCAGGCGTAGTGTTGGAATGTAATGGCTAAGCGGGCCAATATTGTATCTGAACGTAAAATGCGGTTCATTAAAGACAACAGTTGACTTAAAGTCTTTCATGTTGTTTATTTTATTCACTAAATACCCTAAATACCAAAACATACTCCTACAGGTTCACTTATCATTTCTCATCATTCATAAAAAAATTGTAAATTTGTTTAATACACTGTAAAGACTTATTGACACTAGCTTATTCGTTTGCGGCATAATCTCTAAGAATTTAGAACAAGTCAGTTTTCGGGTTGGTACCAACAGTGTTTCGTTACAAGTTTTTATTATTAGGTAGTTTAACACCGGAAAACTAGCGCACGACGAAGGTCGAAACCATCTCTGAGCATACTGTAACTATATAAATAAAAATACAAGATCTAAAATGCAGGTATTAAATCGGAAAACAAATAACCCTCAGAGTTGGGGAGAGCTAGAGAAGGGGTATCGTCTATTAGCTTTTGTTCTCGGAAACTCAAGGATATGAATTTTAAGGAGGCAATTAAATATGGTCTATCCAAACTTAATCCCCACTGTTTGAAAGAAGGACAGAGAAAAGCAGCGGAAGGCTATTCATGCAGCCAATACGTGTTTGTTTACTCACAGAAGGGATTGGGAGTCTGTGTTTTGAGCTCCTCACGTGATCCGTACCGACTAGGTCAAGTTTGGACCTCAATTTCAAAGAAGAAGAGAGCCCTTCGTACAGTTTGCGTAATTTTGCCTTTTTAGCTGATTCAATGAATGACCAAATTTCTTCTGAGCAAAGAACTTGAGGCATCGCAACAAATTTGCATCGGCGTTTTACCTCGTTAGAAGCAGTCGTCCATGAATGACGTTTGAGAACAGTGTTTTTTTTCTCTCCGCCGTTCGTTGCGACTTCTCCCCGTGATTTACTGCGAGAGAGCTTTATAGAATTAAAGCTCTCCTCGACTGACTCCATTTTCTTTAGTTAATTTGAATATTCCTCTCGGCTCAACTCTGTCAATTTCAACTTTTCAAGTCCACCCATCCACACCCACCTCCCCTCCCAGGGCATTTGACGGGCATTTGAAAGTTTGTTTCCACAAGGTTGCAAATGCCCCACCGTGGGGCAGCTGGTCCATCATCCGGGTGGGGCTGTGAGAAAAGTTCAAATGGGATACCGTGGGATAGCGTCAAAATTGTATTTTCTCGTAACTAATAGTAACATATGGTAACACATTTTGCAGTGTACCCATGACCACTAACATAACATGGTATAATAGCGTAATAAAGATTGATTTCCACTGTTTCTCATGTACTCAACTTTTTTTGTTTAAAGCGTATTGAAATTGATATAAACATGCTAAAATTTACTGCACATCGGCTTCTGCACAGGCAAAGCCAGACAATCTCGCAAAGTCGATGTTGGTAAAGAAAACACAGTGAAAAAAGGCTTATTCGGCTTATTCCAGTTTGTTTTAGTATCATAGTATTTATCATAAAAATGCAAATAACCTACCTTAGAAGCTTTATATTAAACCTTAACCAACGAGCCACAAATTCACAATCCTTCCCAGGAAAATCGTCATTCCCCTTCTCGTCTCTATTTTTTCACGTATGGAAGACCAACATGAATTTATGGGGGTGGTGGTGAGGCGCGAGCAAGTATCCAATGTGTTGAATCTCAGAAAAAGAATTTGCGTCTACGTCCGTTACACAGAGTTTATCCTTTTGATATTTCAACCGTGCATAAGTGTTTTTTAGAAAAGTACCAATTTATAATTCTTTAGATTTGACCTAATTGTGAAATGCCTCACCCCCGGGCAGCCCTTGGCGAGCAAATACCCCATGGTGGGACCTACAGCCTGTCAAGTGCACGTCAAATGCCTGAGGGGGATGGGTGGGATTGGAACTGACAGGGTCTTTGTTACAATAAATACAGAAATTCTCGCGCGCTTATTGGCTAATTTTCATTGTCCATGATAAGCGGACAGACACAAGATTTTATAATTTATGCGATGTGTCAACGAGCGAGAGCGGACAATTTGACAATCTGTTCCTAAAAATTAAAAAATAATAATAATTAATTGACTTCAGCTTTTCATACGTCTGTCCTGTTATTGACAATGAATTTCGTCATAACATTGTCAAGGTAGTCTACAGCTACAAAGTTCATGGTCAATAACGGGACAGACGCATGAAAAAATGACGTCAATTTCGCTCTGGAATACAACAAATTAAATCTTTATCGACTTTATCGGTTGAAAGACGGTTGTCTCAGGAGATGTTATTAAACGGAATGGGTTTGTCGATATCTGACTACATCCCTGCACTGTACACAAATAATTTTCTTTGTTAGGGGACAGGGCTTTCCACTCGGAAACGTTTTTGTGGGAATCACGTCTGCTTTACGCGTCGATCGCGCGCGGGGCGGCCCGGAGCACATGGAAAATGAGAAATGTCAATCAAGTTTTTCGCGCCAAGAATTTACGCTCTGATTCACATCCCTGTAATGCGTGAAACAAGTTGACCTTTTGCGATTTATCACTCAGTTCTCTCAAGGAAGACGAGGTAATAAGAGAAGGATTAATAGGTTCCCACACTAGAAAAACAAAAGTGTCGTAAATCAGTTGTAAACAAAACTGACCCGGTTCAGTTCGAGCCTGCATATCCGTTTTATTTTCGCCATTGCTCTACGATCAGGAAGATACCGAAGACTGTTCAAGCTTCTGCTTATAATGCTGTCTTGTTGTTCAATCTTCTATGCTGCCCTTGTTTTTATTCAAGAAGAACAGTGTCGTACCCGATGAGGTACAAAAAACCAGCGATATAAGGGAAGTTCAAATAACAGTGAAAAGTGATACAGGGCCGGGTTGTTCAAAGCCCGATTAAGCTAACCCAGGATTAGCGAGAATTTTGATTTCAATTTTGTACATTTTCGGTGACCATTTTTTTTTTTTTTTGTATTGTTTGTCCTTCAGTTTTGAGCTTCAGTGATCACAAACTACACAAAACATAAGCAGTGAAAAACATTTCTGTAGAAGAAAAATTGTTACCTCGGTTAACTTTTAATCCTGGGTTAGCGTTAACCGGCTTTCGAACAACCCGGCCCAGGTGGGGATGTCGTTGTAAAGGAACCAAAATCCATCGTTCCCTGTCAACAAGAAGGAATGAAAGATCGGCTAACGGTTTCCATCTGGCGAGATTTGTGCGGTGGCGAAGTGATAGTGTTGCAAAACTCGTCATTTTATCCTAGTTACCCTAACGAAAAGCTGATTCCTGATATTTCGGAGTTTAGCATAGTCGACGACCAAGCGGAATACGGTCAAACGATAGCTGGTTTCCTAAACCCAGCGAGGAGTGGATCATATCGCTTTGCGATAGCCTCCGATGATTCATCAGAGTTGTGGCTTAGTCCAAGCGAAAATCCTGAAGAAAAACAGCTAATTGCCAGTGTGTTTGTCGATGGGGCTGCAGGTTGGACGACAAAGAACGAGATAAATAAATATACTAGTCAAATTTCGAGGGATATAGCGCTTCGCAACGGAGGTCGATATTACATCGAAGTCGTTCATAAACAAGGCGAAGGTGACGGATTTGTGCAAGGTTTTTGGTCAAATCCTGGTGTCACAGATTTTAAACTGATCAGCTCTGAATACCTATCGTCGTGTTCCCTTTCCCCAAAACAGGATGCCATGAACCAACTACTTGCTAAGCGTCTTGCAATCTCACAGACAGCGTGGGAAGAAGACTCGAACTTTTTCGCTCTTCCTTTGATTAGCGAAGCAGATTATCGTCCACAATGCGCGTACAAGTCTAGCTTTGTTCCCAAAGACAAGATCGCCAAATACAATTGGCTTTACCTAGTTGATCCATACAGCGTGTTTCCACAAGATGATACTTTTATGGGAAGCAAAGGAAATGTGTGGTCCTGGAGTAACAGAGTCGCTGATAGAGAAATAGTGCAATCGGGGGTGGACAAGATGATGGCCGCACTTTACGAGAAAACTGCCAAGTAAGTAAAAGTTTTGAAATTATCATTGTTAAAGCAACAACAATCTCGCGATATTGTACGGGATTCACAAGGAAAACAACGCTAGACAATCTGCCCGTCAGCTGAGCTGTTTATTTGTAGTTATTTGTAGCTATCTGCACACTTTCTGTTGACTAAGGCATGCATTAGATGGGATTCCGATTGCGAGACGATGTTCTGTGAGCTATTTTTAAGCTGATTCGTTTAACACATGGCTATTTTGCAACGACCATCGTTAAGATTTTCTCAGAACCATTAAATTTACGAACGTATTAATGTCAAAAAACCCATTGAAGGTTGTTTAAAGTGATTATATAAATAAGATTATGACTTAAGAAATGGAAAAACGTGCAGCGACATATCAATATTTTTTTGGACAAACAAATAACTTTAAATTGCTCAGTTCGCCTAAATATCGAACTGCCAACAAACAAAAATTGCTGTCGGTAAAAGCGATTCCTAAAAGTGAATTAAACTTGAATTTGGATCGGTTTTCCGAATAACTGAAAACAAACCGCACATTTTCAATAGTGCCTGTTTGAAGCTTTAGGCAATTTCCGTTCATGACATTTCAGCTTCTGTGTAAGTGCCGATTGTCTAGAGGCAAAGTTTACCCCTGACAGAGGCCTTTCTATGATGTTTTCTGGGTACCCTCTTGCTTTGAGGCGTTGTTTGAATTCCAAAAGGCTCTTTTCAAATGCTTTTTTGGAATAGTTAGTTCTAAGTAATCTTATTGCTTTACCCTTGATGAAACCATTTTTTTACCCGTGGTGGGTAGCACTAGGCGAAGTGCGTGAATTGGAGAATAAAGGTAAAGACAGACCGGCACGGACTCCCCAGGTCGCTTTTGTGGTCGCGTCACAGAAGGGCCATTCAAACTTTGCAAACGTCACCTCTTCATTCCTCAATCTTGGCATAAAAGAAGAGGCAGATCACGTGATCAAAATGGCGGGAAAAACCGGCTAAAGGCGCGCAAAGGGTGGATCCTGGCTTGGATCTTAGCTCGGATCCTAGCTCGAATGCTGGCTCGAATCCTGGCTGGGATCCTAGCTCGGATCCTAGCTCGGATCCTGGCTCGAATCCTGGCTCGGATCCTGAGTCGGATCTTGGCTTTAGCGCTTTATTCTTAGTTTGGAGCTTACATTTGTGCACCATGCAGTCGTTCCTCCTTCACGCGGCTGTCAGTCAGGGCTCAACTATTAAGCAAAACTGAAAAAAACTATCAGGGGCCACCTATATTTTGGTAAAACTTCCTTTTGCAACGCTCAGTAAAGCTTTTATCTGTAATGTTTTGGGAACAGTACGATTTAGTATGTAAGATATCACTAAAAACAGACATTTGTTAAAACTCTCAAGCACAAGTTTTCCACGCCGAAAGCATTTCAATGGCTTTTAGCGCCAAAAAAGTTTTACAATGAAGGCTTGTGCTGTATTTTATTGTCGCCAAATTGCTGAAAAACATTCTCTAAAATTGCCGCTATACATTACTCTACTGAATACCTCGAAAGGTTGATACCAGTTTATCATTGTTTTCGTCTTCCCCGCTGATTCAACTTAGGTTTTCCACAAATAGTATCGGGATATTTTTGAGATATTTAAAAGTTTCCGAGATATCTAGAAATATTAAGATATTAAGAAAACTTGAGGATACGAAATATTCACAGTTGTTTTTTTTAATTTTGGCCAATTATCCCTGTGTTTTCTTGCTATTTTCTTGAAACAATACTCACTCCTATGCCAGAAACAACCCAATTCAGCGATTTTCCACTCCAAAATGTATTCCATATCACTGAAAGCGCTGAAGCAGCAATTTTCCAAAAAGCGGATGCTGGAAACGTGGAAGTGCCTGAGAAACGAACTGTTTTATTAAGAACTTGATGTTTGACTTTTACAGATCGACTTCTACTTGCTATGCCTGCCTGCTTGCCTACCAGTTAGCATACCTCCCCGACCTTGCTTGCTCGGCTTGACTAAAAAGACCGACCGACCTACCGACAAGCCGACCGACTCCACCGATTGACTGACTGAGAGATTAATTAGACTTAAGAAGGAATCCACCTGAAGTTCGAGTAACAAGTGGACAAAAACGTTGTTCCAAGATTATTAGTATCGTGTTGCAAATTGCAAACCGGGTCTGTGACTGTTTTAAATATCTTCTCAAACGAAATCATTTCTAACAACACCTTTGAAATATCGAAAACAAATTTTGAAGTTCATATGAAACACTTGATAGAACTGGTGAAATGACACTGGTGATGAAATTTTACCGGTGGTTAAACAATTTCTGTGAACTTTAAATTTTTTTTTTCGAGTTTCTATGGGAAATTGTTTTCGGTGTTATTTCAGGTAATTATTTATATCTTTAACTTTTAGATTGAATGCAAAAAGGATTTTAATATACTTAATATTATTCTGGTATATGATTTTGGTCCTCTAAAAACTGACATTGCTCGATGTCATATCAGATTTCATCCTAATTTGTCTCGTTTCCTGTCCAGGGACTTCTTTTTAAGGAGAATCTACAGAGTTACGCAAAAGTCTGATCCTGTTAAGGCGGGGGTACACCCAAAATTTGCTGGAAAATTCAAATTTTTGTTTTTCTCGGA